AGAGGCATACAACACCCTTACAAATAGCACTTATTCAGGAACCATGGATAAATGGGGACCAGATTAAGGGGCTAAATCTAAGGGATTTTAAACTGTTTCATAAAGGTTATTATTAACCAAGAACTTGCATTTTGGTTAATAATAAAGTTAAAGCCAGCCTGATACTTAATCTATCAAGTGCAGACTTGACTATTATTAGAGTAACACTAAATGATGGTAAAAATATCATAGTAGCTTCAGGATACTTACCATATGAGGTCACAGACCCAGGTAGGGACCTAACTATGCTCTTTAATTATTGCAAAAATGAAAAATTAGAACTAATCCTAGGTATGGATGCTAATGCACACCACACTATTTGGGGGAGCAGTAACATCAACCAAAGAGGAGAGGTTATAATGGATCTATTGCTGACTACAGACCTAAGTATACTGAACAGAGGTAGTGAACCTACTTTTGTTATCAGGAACAGGCAGGAAGTCATTGATCTAACAGTTTGTTCAAAAGGGTTACTTCAAAAGATAAAAGGGTGGAAAGTGTCCTCCGAACCTTCTCTTTCTGATCATAGGCACTTACGATTCACTTTGGAAATTAACAAAGTTGAGACGGAGTACTATAGGAACCCGAAAAGAACAAACTGGGACAAATACAGGGCAGATCTCTCTCGTGACCTGATTAACCTACAGTTTAGATTGGGGTCGAGACAGAGTACTGAAAGGGCTGTAAATATGCTACAGGACTCCATTGTCTCAGCTTACAAAGAAAACTGTCCTTTAATAGAAAGGAAAGGTACAGGGCAGGGTGTAGCTTGGTGGAATGCTAACCTGTCTAAATTAAGAAAGAGTTCACGTAAGCTCTTAAATAAAGCAATGAAATCAGGTTTGGAACAACACTGGGAATCCTATAAGGACGCCCAAAGGAACTACAAATCTGCATTGAAAAAGTCCAAAAGAGAAAGCTGGAAGAAGTTCTGTGGGGATATACAACAACTCCCTATAGCAACTAGACTTCTGCGATCACTAAGGAATGGACCAAACAAAACTGTCGAGGCAATACTACTGCCAGACGGAATGTTCACCAATAATGATAATGAAACATTATCACATTTGATGAATACACATTTTCCTGACTCTACAATTAACAACAGAGAACAGGAACATGACGCACAGGACAAACGAGTGACCTGTGCTGATTGGAGACTAACCAGGAGAGTGATAACCCCAAGTGGAATAAGATGGGCAATAAAAGCCTTTGGCAGTTTTAAAGCTGCAGGCTGTGACGAAATTTTCCCTGCACTTCTGCAAGAAGGGTTAGAGATAATCGTCCCCCATCTCTGCAAAATATTTAGGGCATGCCTTGCCTATGGTTATCAACCAGAAAGCTGGCGTAAGGTTAGGGTAGTGTTTATACCCAAACCTAACCGCACTAACTATTATGAAGCAAAATCCTACAGACCAATAAGTCTTACTTCTTTTCTTCTTAAGACTATGGAGAAACTTATTGATAGGTACATCAAGGAGGGGCCTCTTAAGGAGAACCCTTTACATGAAAACCAACATGCGTATCAAACGGGGAAATCTACTGATACAGCTCTACACTGCTTAACTACTAAGATAGGGAAAGCTGTAGAGAATAAAATGTATGCAGTAGGTATATTCCTGGACATCGAAGGGGCTTTTGACAATACTCCCTTCGATGCTATGTGTGAATCTGCACAACAGCGTGGAATAGAACCACTTATTATTAAGTGGATAGAATCCATGCTTAAGGAACGCTCCATTTTGGGACAGCTCAATGAGACCAAAGTAATCAAGAGTGTCAAACAGGGATGCCCACAAGGCGGGGTTCTATCCCCCTTGCTATGGTGTCTAGTATTGGACTCGCTTATTAGAGAGTTAAACAAATATTGTTATACACAAGCCTATGCGGATGACTTGGTTATAGCAGTGGTGGGTAAATTCCCAGACACTATTATTGACTTAGCACAACAGAGACTTAACACTATACAGATATGGTGTAGTAAGTACGGTCTATCTGTTAATCCAAATAAAGCAGAGGTTGTTATGTTCACTAGAAAGAGAATAGGACTAGACAACCTGGACACTCTTACTCTGAATGGACAAGAAATTAGCTTAAAATCAGAAGTAAAATACTTAGGTATTATCTTGGATAGTAAGCTAAAATGGAAATCACATGTTGAGTCAAGAATCAAAAAAGCAATGACCACATTGTGGACTTGCAGCAGAGCCTTGGGAAAGACATGGGGTCTTAAACCAAGAGTTATGTATTGGTTGTACACGTCAGTGATTAAACCTATGATATTGTACGGTGCCCTGGTCTGGTGGACCAGAACAGCACTCATTACAGCTAGGAAAGAACTTAGTCGCATACAGAGAATGGCTGCTATTGCCATCACTGGAGCATTAAGAACTACACCAACGGTCGCATTAGAGGCACTAATTGGATTGCCTCCTCTGCATCTAGAGGTGAAAGCTCACGCCAAAGCTACAGCACTAAGATTCCACAACTTAGGTATGTGGACTTTGGAGAGTGATACAACAGAACATGGTAAAATACTAAAAGAGATAGACAAGGGCTTTTTAGAATACCCCTTGGACTATATCAAACCGGTTCTTAAGAATAACATTCCCTACAAAGTGGAGATCACTACACGTATAGAATGGAATATTAACCACCTGACTGACAAAGGAGGATTTGTGATATATACAGATGGATCCAAAAAATCAGGAAAGGTAGGTGCTGGAATTTGGGGCTTAAAGCCACGAATAAATGTCAGTATGTCATTGGGCACAACACCCTCTGTTTTCCAAGCAGAGGTGATGGCGATACTGGTAGGGGCTCAGAACCTGCTGGTATACAAAAATAGGAAGATAACTATCTTAAGTGATAGTCAAGCGGCTTTGAAAGCACTCTGTAACGATCAGGTGAATTCAAAGCTGGTCCTCGAATGCAGGGAAACTTTAGAATCACTATCGAGGTTCAACAAAGTTACACTAGCGTGGGTACCAGGACACAACGGTGTCACTGGAAATGAGAATGCTGACTTTCTAGCCAGGAAAGGAGCAGAGAACACCTATGTTGGACCAGAACCAGTGGTAGGGCTCACTGAGCAATCGCTCAAAGCGTTACCCAAGAATTGGTGCAGAGAACAACACAGGAAAATCTGGAAGTACTTGGTAGTACCTAGACAATCTAAAATGTTTATCAAGACCCCTGGTTTATTGCTGGGTGATCTTAATAGCATGACTAGACATCAAATAAGCACCCTGACTGGTCTACTGACAGGACATGGTCACCTGCTTAAGCATCTTAACGCAATGGGGGTATCGGAATCACCATTGTGCAGAAAATGTGGAGTAGAAGAGGAAGACTCATTTCACATCATGTGCGAATGTGAAGCCTTGTCCACACTAAGATCAAACTACTTGAATAAACCATTTCCTGAAAAAGAGGATATTAAAAACCTAAAACCCAGAGAGATACTTAATTTCGCCAGAAAGACAGGACTCTTTGGTCATCTCTAGAGGTGACTTTATGGTTGGTAATGTATTAACACTTTGGTGATAACACTTAGGTGGGTAAACCGAATCAAGACAATTCGGTATGAGGTGCGCACAATGGACCAACAGGTCTGAGTGCATGGGCATTATGTCCACCTCAATAATAACTAAAACTAACTAAAACTAAAATTTGGAAGTTATTAGCACCTAAATATATTTAATAGAGGTGAGACGAGGATGTTGTTATTTTTTATCACTACAAATAATATTTATTGTCACTTCTGGACTTACTCCTTCTCACGACTAGGTGTAAAAAATTTCAATAACTTCCAAAATACTGGTCCAAAAGTTATTATCAACCATGTAAATTTCTTTATTAAATCATTATCTATTAAAAAACTAGTTAATTACGTATTTGACCATTTAAAAAAATATAGTTGATATCCTTATAAGGTATAAGGGATGAACATAAAAAACACTTTAAATAAATAAATTAAAAAATCATTTACCTAATAGAAACAAAAAAAGAACTCTCCTTTTTATTTTTATTTTTAGAATAATTAAGTGGTTCATGATTAATTAATTACCTTGCAAATAATACATTTTTTAAGCATATCCTAAATTTAGTCAAATTATGTAAACCTTTTTTTTTTCGTATGTCAACTTGTGTCAGGTATGAGCAAAATAAATAATTTGACTTTTTTTTAACAAATTGGCATTTTTTAAATAATTTATATTATTGAGCTTTTTACCAAGTGGTCTCAATATATGAAGTTTTTATGGTGTTTGTGGTGAATATTTTTTTGAGAGATTCAATTAAATCTTAAAATGGTCAATTTGCCCCATCTTCTCATATATTTGCCATAACATCATTTTTTTTAAACATTTCTGCTAGTCACCTGTTGTAATAATTGAACAGTTCAGCCATTGGTGTGTTGTGGCATACAGCATATGCTTTTACTAGCTGAAATCCTAGTACAATTTTGTTATGTTGCAAAAGTGGCAAACACATAAGCANCTAGTACAATTTCGTTATGTTGCAAAAGTGGCAAACACATAAGCATTTTTAAAGTTTTTAATGCATGATTGTTGGCATTAACCAAATGAAGGAATCCCAAAGCTTTCATTTTTTTCCAGATAGCCTATATAAATAACATAGAATGAAGTATAAATTTCATCTCTTTATTTTTATTTATTTGATATTAGTTATAAATTTTATTTTAACTAGCCTGGTTATAATGAAACCAGCAACCAACTACTCTGGTTTGTGAACCACCAAATGAATTGGTAAGAGAATCCCTTAGTGCTGTTTCAAAATCTGTCATTATAACTTCAGGTTGTAGACTAGGAAACATATTTTGTTTCATAAAATTGAAAACACAAAGATATGCATTTCTAGTTTTTGCTTCCATCAAAGAATATGCTACAGGTATAGACTAAAATCAATTATTAATTATATTAGCGATGAACTTTCATTTTACCAATCAAAAAAGTATATGTTGATACTTCATGAATACATATTTTGTTAATTATTATATATCAGTTTTGATATTCAAAAGAAAAAAAAATTTGTGGGTTTTTATTAATTTTTTAAATTATATAATTAATAACAACTTTCTTGAGTCAATATAATTTGTATAAATCAATAAAATATTCTTTTTTAGAAGTGAAGATCAAAATTTAACATTTCAAATTTTTAAAAATCTAAATTAACTGTAGCACTTATCATGAATTTTATTAATACTTGAACTTATAATTTCTTATTTAATTTTATATTTCATAATTTTCAAAGATAATTCATTAAAAACTATATTATTAATTTTATTTTTATTCATTTGTTATCCAACATATGATTGAACTATTTTATGCGTGTAATTCATCATAATAAATCAATACAGTATATTATAATTTTTAAATGTCAACATCTCTAGAAGTGATTAAAAAAATTTGGTAATTGACAAGACAATTATTTATTTCACTTCAATCTAGTGGTATAAATAATTATTTATTAATTCAAATCATTATAATTATTGCAACTTAAATCTAATTGTTAATATAATTATTACTACTAACTTAGGATTTAAAATTGTGAAATATTTACCAAAAGCATTAGTATAAGAATATGATCTGAATGAAGATGAACCAAAATACTCATGAAGATAATTTTGGATACCATAAAAAGTATTATTTGTTAAAACATGATTAAGTACTACATAAAGTTTTTATTATACAAGCTTCTTATTTTAAAATATAGTTTGTATAACTACATTATCCCGGTAATGTTCATTCATTAAAACTAAAACCAATTTTTCAAATATACCTCGTAGTTTTAATTTTAAATCAATCTTGAATTTTTAATTTATCTCTTTAGAAATGATTTATCATTTTGCTTACATAATTGTCAATCATACAGTGAAGTGTCAAAAGTTGTTGTCCTGTATTATTCGGCACAACTTTAAAAGTAGCATCCACATGCATTTCTGTAATACCGTTTGCTAAAACGTGCTCAATTAAATTATTACACCCAAATATTATGCTGGACTTTCCTATAAAAAAAAAAAAAAAAAATAATAAACTGACAAAACTGACAAAACTAGAGTAACTATTTCAAGTATAAATAAGAAGAGTTTACCATCATTATCAGTTACACATCCCTTAAAAATGGAACTATTACAACAAGTATACCTTGGTAAATCATTATTTTCAAATTTTATAGATAGTTCGTTTAAATTTTGTGGTAATGTAGGAAATGATGATCTACGAGCTAAGCGCATCATGCTTTCTGCTGTTGGCCAAGTATATAAACTAGCAGCTGTAGTATGTCTGAAATAATTAACATTTTACATGTTATACCTGCATGTTATTTTTTAATATAACAATTTATGATTACAAATACTTTATAATTTAATTACCGTAACATTTACTCATCATAAATTGTTCTTAATGGTAAATTTTCAGATTTTGACCGCGATTTCAAAATATTTTTAAAAGACTTTATCATAATTTCATTATTATTATTATTTAATATGTGTATATTCGAGTGTGGCTTAAGTTCAGTCACAACATTATTAAAACTTTTTTTGCTGTACCATTGCAAAAATATATTACTGAATCCGCACATTTGTAATATCTATAGAATAAAAAATAATGTTCGGTTCATTACTAAATATCAGGTAAATATGTATCTGAGGAAATTTAGGGTAAAATGGACTGCATTATTATTGCTACTATTGAACTATATTTATAGTGAAAGCAAAGGGGAGGAAAGAGTTGAAACCCCACAAGAAAACTTTTTCAACAATTGTTTTCTAATCTCTCCTATTGTTAAGAACTTTATTATAGGTATTACTATGTTTCCTAAATTTAATTTAATTTTAAATTTTTCAGTTAATTTTTTATGCGTTTTTTGGTGTACTATTTTTTGTCACTATTTTTTACTTGATATTATGTTAGAAAAAAAAGTTACATACAATTTTGTTCTTATAATTTTTTTTATCCGAACAAACGTTTACGTTTTATAATTGTTTAAAGATTTTGACTATCAGAAAAAATATTGTCATTTATAACGTTTCATAATATCGGTAGCAGTGCAACCAGTATTTTTGTTAGATCCTTTAGTCTCACAAATCCATAGACTTTGCTATTAATAATACACCGAAAACCCGATTTGAATCTATTGTTATCACTCATTTAACGCGTAGTAAATTTTTATAGCTAATTTACCTGTCATAACTTGAACAATAAAATTTGATTTATGCTACAGTAAATAAAAATAATGACTTCTGTATTTAATACAATAAAATAACAATAGAAATTACTTTAACAATAGAAATTAACTTTAACAAGCTGTAACGGACAAACGGTTAATCGGATAAAAAAAATTATAAGAACAAAATTGTTTGTAATTTTTTTTTTCTATCATATTGTAAAGTTAAAAGTAAGGGTTCCCATTTAAGAAAATTATAAATATGGGTTTTTATCCTTGAAAGGACGAAAAAATAATGGTTTGACTTCATATTATTGTAGGGTTTTTGAACTTGATATTTTCCTCTATAATAAAATGTTAAATTCTCAATAGTTTCTGAGAAAATGAGTGCCATTACAGATTTCGATCACGTATATATATACGTTAAGGTAAAATTTGAAATATTTAAAAGATCGAACTATCTGTAAAATCAATACATTTTTCTTAAGAGTCAGTAGACCCCGGTACATCCCTCTATCAAATATATTTGCATACTTACGTGTAACCATTTTTCTTTCCATTATTCGTATATCTGAATCCATTATGAAACATTTTTGTATTAAAAAAAACTAAATAAACTTATAAAAATTTCAATCAAACAAATAAAATGATGCGAGCATATGCACACTAGGACACCGTAGGTGAAATGTAGTCAAAACAAAAGAAAATTCGTCTTCTCGAAAGAGTGAAGTAAGGTGAAGATGAAGAAGGGGTTTAAAGTGCGATAAGGAGATATTGAATTTATAGTTAAATAAAATATTAACTATTAATAGTTTACTAAATAAAAAATTGGTCTATATATTTTATTAATATATCTGTAATTAGTAACCCTTTAATTTAAAATGTTGTTGTTGGTCATCAAACTTCGTAGTAAACCCTACTAAAAAATTACGGATTTTCATAAGTCTATAAAATAGATGTGTAAACATTATAATGTTATTGTGCTATAATATGTATACACATTTATGTGATTATTCATTACATATATTTAAAAAATACAAAATAAATTGTCATGCGTAATACTCACGTCTAATTTTTTAAGAATACTAGAAAAGCGGCAACATACTCTACTCTTTGTATCATATCTAATCATGATTCCCCTCATAAAGTCAAGATACCTTAGAAGGATTTTTCGGATCATATAAATAATATTTATAAATATATTAATTAATATATCCTAATATAATATAATATCTTTGGACATTACATCCCTAGAATTATCATAAGATACTTAAACAGAATATGGATTCATTTTAAATATATATAAATAGTTTTAATCTCATAAATGTTTTATGGTGCCTGGAAATATTTATTTTTCCTAAAGCTGAAAAAAAATTACAAATCATAATCCTATATTGTATTTAACTAGAGGCAAGATTAAATAACAGCACAATTTTATTTATATTTATTTATTTAAAATATGTAATGCACAAATGGTCACTTTCATAAGTAACACAAACAAGTAATAAACTACATTTGAATAAAATTAAAATTTTCAATTGATTAAAAAAAAATTGTTGGCAGCTAAAGGTATATAAAAATGAAAACATACAGAATGTACTTTTAAATTAAATAACTAAAAATCATTAATTTAAATGAATTTTAACCTGGTTTAATAAGTTAGAAATAAGAAAAATAACCTCATTACTGATAGCCATGGATTTTAATAACATACGGTTATTTGGCCCGCAACTCATATTGCTCTTCATGTTTGATAGGGCCTCAATTACTTCAGCGGCCTAAAGTAAAAACTTATTCAATGAAATAATGAGTAAAATATTTAAATCATTAAATGTGATAGTAAAATTTAAATATAAGGCTAACAGTAATCNACAGTAAAATTTAAATATAAGGCTTAGAGTAATCATAGGAAAAATATATTTTTAATATTTCTAATATATATATCTAATATATATCTTTGGCGTTGTCTGATTGAGTAATAATTCATGCAATTTAGTAATAAATTAATTAATTATCATAGTTCCAAAAATACGTATCGTTTGAAAAATTGTCAAGTTAAATAAATTTGTTTGATTTGACAACATATGTAAATTAAAAAAAACCCAGCACAGGGGGGTCGCGGCACAGTGGTGACGTGGCATAGATGGATCAAGTATAATGATATCTGACAGTGATTAAAATCACTATAAAAAAAAAACCGCTTCGATGCAAATCTTTAGAGAGCGTTTAATTTAAAAAAAATGGTGTATTATTCCAAAATCTACATGATCTGCTAGTTTATTATTAATATCCTGATTAAGATAAAGTATGTCGAATGAAAAAGGGATTATTAAAAAATACTATTTCTCATAAAAAAATTGTGTTGATCCATAAACTTTTCAATAAGTTATAGCATTATAAAGTTAAAAATGTAAAAAATAAAATTGAGAATTTTCACACAATAATAGCATTTGGTAGCCACTTTCACCATGAAGACAAGTCCAGAGGTCAAATTTTTTTTTTTCATAATAAAGTATATTACATTAGCTTTAATTTAAGATATATATAAAAGTGTCAGACCTTCCGGAACATTTTCAAAAATCAAGTTGAAAAAATTAATTTTTTGTGAAAAAGTTGTCATTTTAAATCCCCTTCTGTGGGCAGGGAAAGGGTCACATATAAAAAAAAAGTATACCAAATGTAAAGTAATGATATCATACATTTATATAAAAAATAATTATATTGATTCAATTATTTTTAAAGATGTTATAGCAATTTTAAGTAAAAAAAATTGAAAAATTTTTGAAAATTAGCGATTTTTAAATTTGTAATTTTTTTGGAGGTTTCCCCCATTTACGGGGAATTAAAATTAGTACTCTTATTTCTCTATTAGTAAGTTTTATATAAATTCAATTATTTAAAAACAAAGTTTTAGATGAAACACCAAATAATACAAAAAAGAAATTTAAATCGCGACAATTTAAAAAAATTATTATACATATAATTGTAAAATCAAATTGTTTGTAAAAAATATCACATTAAATTAATGTTATTCAATTATTATAAATATAAACACTTTTTAAAAAAAAAATTATCGTTGTAGAACTAATTCAACGAACAATTCCAATTGCCATCAAAACAAATTAAACTACACGTTAGTATTCAAGTCGATTTCATTGGTATTATCAGGGCCGGATTTAGACTTTTGGATGCCCGGGGCAAATTTTTTTTCGAGGCCCATAACAGTAAAATAATTAAAAAATACTCATTATCGAAGTAGTTTTAAAATTTTCAAACTTGTACTTTATAACTATCTACCGAAAACGTGTTTATTTCAAGTTTGTTTAAAAGGATAACTAAGATACGCGTAAACAAAATAACACAACGACGGACGACCTGCACTAATCGCTATTATAATATGGTATCGCGATTCGTAGAAGTCAAAGTCACATCTTATCAAATCCGGGCACTACCACCACGCTGTTTAATAATAAATGACATAATTACTCGAACGTTTATACCATTTTAGCTTCGATGCGAAGCAGAGAAGGTATTAATTTTACTAAGATGTGTTTTTTTTTTTTTTTATGTCTGTTGCCACTTTTTCTCAGCTCTCACTGGACCAATTTTTTTCAAAAATACGTCAAAAGATCAAAAATCGTATCTAGTTGGAGACATTACCCTTAAAAATTGAAAAAAATTCCCTCATTTCCCGAAAATGGAGGAAATATCCAAAAAAATTACAAATTTAAAAATCGGTAAATTTTATCATTTTTCTCACTTTTTTTCCTTAAAACTTCCATAACTTTTTCAAAAATAAACAATATCAACATAATTTTTTTATATAATAAAACCTTAGATATTTCCCTTTCATTTGATATCATTTTTTTGAAAATCTAACACTTAACCTGCTCATTGGGGGGGTTTGAAAATGGCAACTTTTTTACAAAAACTAACTTTTTCAACTCAATTTTTAAATATGTTCCGGAAATACTGCGTCCTTTAAACATATATCAAATTAAAGCTTATGTCATGTACTATAAAATTTAAAATAAAAATTTATCCCGACGATCTATCTTCTATGTGCAAATGGCTACCGTATTCAAAAATATGCTATTTTTCTATTAAAATTC